GAGGAGCAGCGCACGGGGCAAGGGGGAAAGGATTGGGATGACGAGTGTTGGACGAGGAAGGATCGGGGATGAGGAGGCCTCCCGCCGCCGACGCCGCCGCAGGCGGTCGACGTGGCGGTCATGGTCGTCGCGGCCGTGGCAGGAGGAAGGGGGCGGGGGGGCAGGGGAAGAAAGAGGCCTTCTTTCTTCCTCCTGCCCCCCCCCCCCCCCCCTCCCCCCATAAAAAATGATCGACCCACGAACCCGGAAAGGAATGTAGAACTGTAACACATGGCAGCGTTTTCAAAGACACCTGATTGGGTGACGGGCAAATGCAATACTGAAGGTATCGATCTTGATGTACCCTGCCGAGGGCTGTGCTGTGCTGCGCCGTGCTGAATTGCGATGTGCCATGGCGCGACTGTGCTCTATAGCCTCGTGGATCGAGTCCTCCTTTGCATCCGAGTCCTGACCGAACTGATCTGGATCTTAAGCTCGAGCTGCCTGAACACATAGTAGCTGCCCCCATGGACAGGGGAACATGCCAGGAGGACGCGCCGCGAAACGTCCCAAGGGATGCGCCAGGCGACGTGCCAGGGGACGTGCCATGGGGTCGCACCGCGGGACGTGCCAAGGGGACGCGCTACGGAACGCGCCAATTGATGTGCCACAGTTTGCGCCAGGGGACGCGCGACGCGACGTGCCAGGGGGACTCGCCAAAGGACGCCCCACGGAACGTGCCAAGGAACGTGCCAAATTGCAATGCTGAGTGCATCGACCTTGATGTACCGTGCCGAAATCAGTGCTGTGCTGGGCCGTGCTGAATTCCGATGTGCCATGGCGCGATTGTGCTCTATAGCCTCGTGGATCGAGTCCTCCTTTGCATCCGAGTCCTGACCGAACTGATCTGGATCTTAAGCTCGAGCTGCCTGAACACATAGTAGCTGCCCCAGAGCTAATGGACAGGGGAACATGCCAGGAGGACGCGACGCAGAACGTCTCAAGGGACGCGCCAAGCGACGTGCCAAGGGACGTGCCATGGGGACGCATCGCGGGACCTGCCAAGGGGACGCGCTACGGAACGTGCTGGGGACAAGCGTTTCGCTCGAGACATCCTGTCAAAATCATCTGAATTCCTACGCGCGGGACGCTGCACGCGCGAGACATCCTCGGAATTCCTGCGAGCGGGACGTGAAAACAAGCATTTCGCCTGGGACATCCTTTGAATTCTGGCCCCCCCACGAGGCCACCGCTCGAGACATCCTCCAATTTTGCAAAACCAGCGTTTCGCTCGAGACATCCTCAACAAATTATGAAAAACAAGCGTTTCGCTCGAGACATCCTGTCAAAATCCCAAGAAATCCAAATACCCGCGCGCGGGACGCGGCACGCGCGAGACATCCTTGGAATTCCTGCGCGAGGGGCGCTTTTCCGTGTCGCGGTCGGCTCTGCAAAACCAGCGTGTCGCTCGAGACATCCTCAACAAATTCTGAAACCAAGCGTTTCGCTCGAGACATCCCCAACTCTGCAAAACCAGCGTCTCGCTCGAGACATCCTCAACAAATTCTGAAAAACAAGCGTTTCGCTCGAGACATCCTCAAATTTTAATTCGCCGGCCCTCTTCCCACTCGTTATTTATCGCAAAAGAAATTCGCCGGCCCTCTTCCCGTCAAACCCGGGGGGAAACCATCTAAAAGAGAACCCTGGGCTCAAGCCCTTTCCGGGAAAAAAACACCCTCGCTGCTGCTTCTGCTGCCCTTCTAGCTGTTATCTACATGCCTCCCGGCATATCCCGCCGCCGTGCCTGGGTAGTGGGTATGCGGGTTATTGGATGCGGCCGTTTCGTTTTGGGACTTTTGGGAGCCTCTTTTGGGTCCTCGTTTTGAAGAGACAGCGCCAGTCGGGCTGGCTGGTTCGGCCTCGTTTAACGTTTGGCTGGTTCGGCCACAGGGTTCGCATGCCTCCCCGACCCCCATTTCGGCAACCAGCAGGAGAGGAGGGTCAGCCGAAGCAGCTGAGGGTGGATGGGTCAGCCGAAGCAGGTAGCAGACGAAGGGGGGGCAGATCCAGCCGCGGCGACGAGGGCGTCAGGAAAGGCCGAACCAGCCGAAGAGGACCAGGAAAAAACGAAAAGCGTCAGAACCCCCTCCCCCCTCCTCCTCCCCCCTCCTCCCTCCTCCTCCCTCCTCCTTCCTCTCCTCCTCCTCTTCCCTCCCCCTCCTCCTCCTCCTCTTCCTCATTCCTCCTCCTCTTCCTCCTCGCCGAGCTCCTCCTCCTCCTCCTCCTCCCCCCCCCCGGGCGCGCGGGGCGGCGGCGGGCTCGCCGGCGAGGTGGTCGACGCGACGGTCTCGTTGAGACCGTCGTCGTCGTCCCCGCCTGCCGGCCCAGGGCGCGAGGAGGGCGGCGAAGATAAGAGGGGGAAGAAAGGGGAGGGGTGGGTTGGGAAGCAAAGTAGCGCGCGGGCGGGAAGAACGGTTTGGGCGGGGAGGGATGACCAGGGTGTGAGGGGCTCAGGGCGAAGAGGAGGGGGGGGAACTCCTAGGAGGGGAGGCAGATCCAGCCGCGGCGACGAGGGCGTCAGGAAAGGCCGAACCAGCCGAAGAGGACCAGGAAAAAACGAAAAGCGTCAGAACCCCCTCCCCCCTCCTCCTCCCCCCTCCCTCGTCCTCACTCCTCCTCCCTCCTCCTCCCTCCTCCCTCCTCCTCCTCTTCCCTCCCCCTCCTCCTCCTCCTCCTCCTCTTCCTCATTCCTCCTCCTCTTCCTCCTCCTCCGTGTGTTTTTACGTGAGGCGCGCCACTTGGCTTGCCTTACGTAAAAAACATTGCTGGCGGCAACTTATCCTCCTCCTCCTCCTCATCCTACTCCTTCTCCTCCTTCTCCTCCTCATCCTCCTCCTTCTTCTTTCTCCCCCCTCCTCCTCCTTCTCCCCCTCCTCCTGGGCCACGACGTGCGAGCGGTGCCGAAGCGTCGTGCAGGCAGGCAAGACGATACCTTCGATACCACTAAGACCAGCCCAGTCCTCTGGGCACCTCCCCCGGGGCCGGTTTTGCGAGGATGTCTCAAGCGAGGGCGCCGGTTTGGGATTCGTCGCCGGATCCAGCGGATCCGTCCGGAAACGGTACCGGAGGCCGCTCTGGGGTCCTCTGGGCACCTCCCCCGGGGCCGGTTTTGCGAGGATGTCTCAAGCGAGGGCGCCGGTTTGGGATTCGTCACCGGATCCAGCGGATCCGTCCGGAAACGGTGCCGGAGGCCGCTCTGGGTTCCTCTGGGCACCTCCCCCGGGGCCGGTTTTGCGAGGATGTCTCAAGCGAGGGCGCCGGTTTGGGATTCGTCACCGGATCCAGCGGATCCGTCCGGAAACGGTACCGGAGGCCGCTTTGGACTCGTGCTCTTCGCGCCGGGGGTGAGGATGACGTGAGTTCCACAGAAACTCCCTCAAATTATGCCGTCTCAGGAGTTCGAAGAGCAGCGGTTCGAGTTTTGAGTTTCAAGCTTCGAGGTCTGAGTTTCTATTTGCCACCTTCCCCTCGTAGGAGCCTCTGGGAGTCTCCTCGTGGCCACAGCCGAATTCCCTTGCTCGAGCGCGCCCCTGGGCAGGTCCCCGGGTCGATCTCTCTCTCTCTCTCTCTCGAGGAGGAGGAGGAGGAGGAGGAGGAGGAGGAGGAGGAGGAGGAGGAGGAGGTCGATCTCTCTCTCTCTCTCTCTCTCTCTCTCTCTCTCTCTCTCTCTTTCTCTCTCATTATTTTTTTTTGTTCTCTCTCTCTCTCTCTCTCGAGGAGGAGGAGGAGGAGGAAGAGGAGGAGGAAGAGGAGGAGGAGGACAACGGACGGTTGTTAACAGTCTTCGGGCCTCTCGAGGAGGAGCCCAGACCTCTTCGCGTCGCAGGTAGACACGACGGACGGCTGTTCACAGTTTGCAGCCTCCAGGAGCCCAGGAGGGGTCCTTGCCGGGCCACGGGGCCGTCAAAAGCCAGCTCGGGATGAACGAATTGTCCCGACGAAGCGGCCCAGGCCTCTGAGGGCTGGCGCTGGGAACAAAGACGGGGCGTCCGGGATCTCGGGGACGAAAGGGGGCGGGGACAGATCAAGGTTCGATAATCGAGGTTCGACGATCGAGGCTCGAGGTTTGTGGACGAGTTTGGACCGAAGACCGACTTTGAGATGATCCCAGACCTTCTCGCGTCGTGGAAACTTCGCGGCATCACATTTCGGTAATGGTTAATGTCCTGGGGCCCTAGGCAGGGACCGGGGCCGTCAGAAAATTACTGGACAAGAAACCTGGTCCCAGGGAAGGGGTCGGGACCTCTGGGGGCCCACGTTGCAACAAAACGCGACATCCAGGGTCTGAGCTGATATTCGGGGCTTCCTACCCCCTCATACTCCTCCTTTCCATTTTCCCCGCTGAATTGCCGAAGCCGCTGAGTAAGCACATTATTCTGGTTCGGGAATTGAGGGTTACGAAATTTGATGCGTGCAGCTGGTTTCGTCCCCGCCGCGCGGCTCTTCCGGCCGCGTCGGGCGCCTGGAGGCGGTAGGCAAACCAGCTGCGCGCAGCGGATTCTTTTATTCCCCTTCATTGCCGCCCCTTTCGTCCACCCCTATTCTCCCTGTGCTAGTCACCGTCGACGTCGCCATCGTTGACCTCCTTCCTGCCCCTCGACGCCGCCCTCCTCCTCCTCGTCCTCCTGCTCCTCATCGTTCGTTCTCCTGCTGCTGATTACCCTCATCCTTCGAACAAGTACGGGCTGCACAAACATTACCTCTCGGAGATCCGCGCTGCTTTGTTGGATCGGCGCCGGAGCTCTTCGGCGGTGCCTCCAGCGCCGATCCAAGAAACCCGCGCGGACCTCTCACATGGTGTGCTTTTGCAGTTTTTTGTTGTCCTTTTTCTGCCGGTCCTGGGCGGGGGCCAACAGGTTGAAAAACGTCGATCACCTCTTCATCCTCCTCCTCCCTCTCCCTCTCCCTCCTCCTCTTCCTCCTCCTCCTTCTCCTTCCTCTCCCTGTTCGGTGCTTCCCAGCCCCTGCCGGTCCCGAGCTTCACTCGGCGCCGCCAGCTGCGCCACTGGGTGCTCCAGCGTGCGCTCGGCACCCTGGGGCCTCAAAGTCTCGGGCCCCGGGGCGGGGGGGGGCACCCGCTTGGCGCGGCCCCAGCGCCAGCAGGAGAAGGAGGAGGAGGAGGAGGAGGAGGAGGAGGAGGAGGAGGAGAAGGGGGAGGAGGAGGAGGAGGAGGAGGAGGAGGAGGAGGAGGAGGAGGAGGAGGAGGGCCTCGGCGCCGGCACCGTCAGACCCGACGGAAAGCAGGCAGGGTACAGTCAAGACTCGAAGAAGAGAGCGCTGCACAAACATTCACTTTCGGAGCTCCGCGTGGATTTCTTCGATCTGCGTTGGACCCCTGGCGGCACCTCAGGCGCCGCCCCCGTCGCGCTCCGCGCGCTATGGAGGGGATTCCAGTGCCGATCCAAGAAACCCGCGCGGAGCTTGGAAAGTGTACGTTGGTGCAGTTGCTCATTGTTCTACAGACGCTGGAACAAGGAACACTTCGGGTTCGGAATGGGCTTCCTGTTTCACAGGTCCTTCCATGGTTGTTGTTTGATGACTCCTCGTGCACCCAGGCGCTTTTTTGCCGAAACGGGGCTTCGTTCCATATTGCTAAGGCCTTACGGCCGGTGCCGCCGACCCTGGAGGCCTCGGCCCTCGACGGAAATGTGAGGGAGAGGGCGGGCCATGGGCCCTGGGAGGATGGTATTCTGACCTGGGATCCTCCCTGGGACCCACTTCCAGGACCCCCTCCCTCCGCGGGGGAGGGATCAAAGGGAAGGAGCTTCCCTTCGACTCAATGACAATCTTGCTTGATTTCGCTGTGGATGGGCTGGTGTAATTCGTTTTGGCTGGCGTCGTTTTCGCCGTTTTCGGCGCCCTGGGGGTCGTTTTGGAGCCCTGGGGCTGGCTCAATTACGCTACTGAGGAACCCCACATACTTATATTATGGCTGGAGTGATGACAGCTGAAGTGAAGCATGTGAGAATGATGTCGGTGGCCGTTGCCCCGCCGATACCGTTGGTGACGCCACTCAAGAGGAGAGGTGGAAGAGGAGAAGCGCCGCGTGCATAGTGGCCGTGGTGAGGGACCACCCCCTGCGCACCCTCTATGGTGTCGAGAAAATGCCACGCCTGCTATGCACTGGTGGGCGACCGTCGTGCATAGCGGCCGCAGTGAGGGACCGTCCCCTGCGCACCCTCGATGGTGTCGAGAAGGTGCCACGCCTGCTATGCCCTGGACGACGGGCTCGGATAGCGGCCGCGCTCAGGGACCACCTCCTGCGCACCTCCTATAGTGTCGGGAAAGTGCCACTCCTGCTATGCCCTGGACGACCGGCTCGGACAGCGGCCGCGCTCAGGGACCACCTCCTGCGCACCTCCTATAGTGTCGGGAAAGTGCCACTCCTGCTATGCCCTGGACGACGGGCTCGGATAGCGGCCGCGCTCAGGGACCACCTCCTGCGCACCTCCTATAGTGTCGGAAGCGTGCCACGCCTGCTATGCCCTGGACGACGGGCTCGGATAGCGGCCGCGCTCAGGGACCACCTCCTGCGCACCTCCTATAGTGTCGGAAGCGTGCCACTCCTGCTATGCCCTGGACGACCGACTCGGATAGCGGCCGCGCTCAGGGACCACCTCCTGCGCACCCCCATATGGTGTCGAGGAAGTGCCACTCCTGCTATGCCCTGGACGACCGGCTCGGATAGCGGCCGCGCTCAGGGACCACCTCCTGCGCACCCCGTATGGTGTCGGGAAAGTGCCACTCCTGCTATGCCCTGGACGACGGGCTCGGATAGCGGCCGCGCTCAGGGACCACCTACTTCGCACCCACGACAACGACGACGTCTCCGACGACTACGACGACACTGACGACGTCTCCAACGACTTCGACGACGCCAACAACGACGACGACGACGACGACGACGACGACGACGACGACGACGACACCGACGACGACGACGACGCCAACGCCGACGACGACGACGATGACAACGACGACGACGATGACGACGCCGACGACGACGATGGCGACGACGATGACGACGACGACGTCAACGACGCCGACGACGGACGACGACGACGACGACGGCGGCGACGACGACGACGCCGACGTCGACGACGACGACGCCGACGTCGACGACGACGAAGACGACAACGAACGACGACGACGAAGACGACGAGGGAGGAGGAAGGACGACGACGGCCACAACGACGATAACGACGACAACGACGAGGGAGGAGGGAGGACGGCGACGACGCGAACGACGAAGAAGGAGGAAGGACGGCGACGCCGACGACGGCAACGACGAGGGAGGAGGGAAGACGACGACGACGACGACGACGACGACGACAACGACGACGACGACGACGACGACGGCGACGAAATAGGAGGGACGACGACGAGACGCCGACGACGGACAACGACGACGACGAGGGAGGAGGAGGAGGAAGGACGACCACGGCGACAACGACGACGGAAACGACCACGACGCCAAAAAGGACGACGACGACGAACACGAGGAAAGACAGAGGACGACGTAGGCGACGACGACGACGACGACGCGGGAGGAGGGAGGACGGCGACGACGACGACGACGGCGCAAGAGCGCGCGCGCACGCTTCTGTTGAAAATCCATGTTGCGAAACCTGGTGTTTTTGTAAGTTTTCTGGACACACGATTTTGAAATCCTTCTGACACCGATGAGTTTTGAAGGTTTTCGGCATACGCGCGCGACGACGAGCGCGTCTGCACTTCGTCCAGTTTTTTGCAGAGGATTCTCGCGACGGCACACGCGTAAGGGCGTTCGACAGATTTCGACATGCGCGCGCGCGAAGCCCGTTTGGTAGCATGTTGTGAAAATCTTGAAAAACAAATGGTTTTCTTAAGATTTCGGAAGAGCTCGCGCGGAAGCTTTTTTAAACAAATCTGTGTTGCGAAACCTTGTGTTGTTGTAGGTTTTTTGGACACACGATTTTGAAATCCTTCCGAAACCGATGGGTTTTCAAGGATTTCGGCATACGCGCGCGACGACGCGCGCGTCTGCACTCCGTCCCTTTTTCTGCAGAGGATTCTCGCGACGGCACACGCGCAAGGACGTTCGACAGATTTCGACATGCGCGCGCGCGAAGCCCGTTTGGTAGCATGTTGTTTAAATCTTGTAAAACCCATGGTTTTCTTAAGATTTCGGAAGAGCTCGCGCGGAAACTTGTTTAGCAAATCAGTGTTGCGAAACCATGTGTTTTTGTATGTGTTTTGGGAACTCGATTGCGAAATCCTTTTGGTACCGAAGGTTTTTGAAAAATTGCGGCATGCGCGCGCGACGACGCGTGCGTGCGCACTTCGTCCAATTTTCTTCTCCAAGGGATTCGTGACACAGTGTTATGTTAGAACAAAACATGTCACCGCATAATGTTCTTTTACAAGGGACCCTCAGGGGGGGATACCAGTTGGCACGTGACATTGCGATTTCATATTTAGGATGGACGTGTGGTCAGAATCACATATGATCTACATACCCGAAAAGGGAACCGATAACGCCAGGGGGGGGTAGATCCTATTCTGTGTTGAAAAAAAAGGAAAATAAAGTGCCACTCGTGCTATGCCCTGGACGACGGGCTCGGATAGCGGCCGCGCTCAGGGACCACCCTTGCGCACCCCCTACGCTGTCGGGAAAGTGCCACTCCTGCTATGCCCTGGACGACCGGCTCGGATAGCGGCCGCGCTCAGGGACCACCTCCTGCACACCCCCTATGGTGTCGAGGAAGCGCCACTCCTGCCATGCCCTGGACGACCGGCTCGGATAGCGGCCGCGCTCAGGGACCACCTCCTGCGCAGCCCCTACGGTGTCGAGGAAGTGCCACTCTTGCTGTGCCCTGGACAACAGAACAGGCTCGGATAGCGGCCGCGCTCAGGGACCGCCCCCTGCGCACCTCCTATGGTGTCGGGAAAGTGCCGTTCCTGCTGTGCCTTGGACGACCGGCTCGGATAGCGGCCGCGCTCAGGGACCACCTCCTGCGCACCCCGTATCGTGTCGGGAAAGTGCCACTCCTGCTATGCCCTGGACGACCGGCTCGGACAGCGGCCGCGCTCAGGGACCACCTCCTTCGCACCCCCTACGGTGTCGAGAAAGTGCTATCCTGCCTTGCCCTGGACAACCGGCTCGGATAGCGGCCGCGTTCAGGGACCACCCCCTGCGCACTTCCTATGGTGTCGGAAAAGTGCCACTCCTACTATGCCCTGGAAGACCGTCGTGCATAGCGGCCGCGGTGAGGGACCGTCCCCTGCGCACCGCCAATGGTGTCGAGAAAGTGCCACGCCTGCTATGCCCTAGACGACCGGCTCGGATAGCGGCCGCGCTCAGGGACCACCTCCTGCGCATCCCCTATGGTGTCGAGAATATGCCACGCCTGCTATGCACTGGACGACCGTCGTGCGTAGCGGCCGCGGTGAGGGACCACCCCCTGCGCACCCCCTTTGGTGTCGAGAAAATGCCACGCCTGCTATGCTCTGGACGACCGTCGTGCATAGCGGCCACGGTGAGGGACCGTCCCCTGCGCACCCCCTATGGTGTCGAGAAAGTGCCACGCCTGTTATGCCCTGGGCGACCAGCTCGGATAGCGGCCGCGCTCAGGGACCACCCCCTTCGCACCCTCTATGGTGTCGGAAAAGTGCCACTCTCGCTATGCCCTGGACGACCGGCTCGGATAGCGGCCGCGCTCAGGGACCACCTCCTGCGCACCTCCTATGGTGTCGAGGAAGTGCCACACCTGCTTTGCCCTGGACAACCGGCTCGGATAGCGGCCGCGCTCAGGGACCAGCCCCCGCGCACCTCCCATTGGTGTCGGGAAAGTGCCGCTCCTGCTATGCCGACTCGGATAGCGGCCGCGCTCAGGGACCACCTCCTGCGCACCTCCTATGGTGTCGAGAAAGTGCCACGCCTGCTATGCCCTAGACGACCGGCTCGGATAGCGGCCGCGCTCAGGGACCACCTCCTGCGCAGCCCTTACGGTGTCGAGGAAGTGCTATCCTGCCTTGCCCTGGACAAC